TCTCTCTCTCTCTCTCGTGCGCGCGTGCGGTGGGCGGGCTTCACAGCCAATCTCCGCCCACTGCTCACTCACACCACACGCGCAGCGTCACAAACGAACCTACGGTGACAGAGGCGAGCCGTTCTTTCCCCATAACTTTATTATACAGTCAGTCGCACAGGAGAATCTTGGCACTTGTAGGAATGTTCTTCACAGGAATGAGGAATGTGTTCTATGCATAAATTCCCACGGACATACGCCGCTATATAAGTCATCAGCTGATTTCTGGAGGTGTTTAACGGTTTTTACTAACTACACACTGCAGGCGGTCTATTTAGTGGGACATAATAACGCGAACGTCCTTTTTTGCAGAAGGCAGAAATCGGAACTCGAGAATCAGCCAAATTTCAGAATCAAAGTTGAGGGGATTCCAATCCGGCTCCCCTGCTCAACAGTCAAAAGCGACAAACTGTTCTTTTGTTGGTCCAATTGTGAATGATGAAAAAATGTGAGTTTTTTTTTACAGGAAGGAAATGTCGTGGTCCGCACCCGGCACATCATGGGTCAAAGTTCATCAGTGTTGTCTTGTGATCACCCCTGATAACGGCAATGTTTGCGGGGAGAGACAACGAGCGAAGCAAAGCCGGCGACAGTGAGGAAGAGGAGGAGGAGGAGGAGGAGGCTGTCGATGAAGACGACGATGGTGGCGATGAAGTGGAAGCGATGAGCGTTGAAGGTGACGCCAGGGAAGTGTTTACAGTCGTGTGGTCCGTGACGGGCTGATGGTGGTCAAGCTCTGATTGACCACTGATCAAGCTTGAACAGCTGTCCTCTCCTGCTAAACTGGTCACGCTGGTTGGGCACACGGACAAGAATGACGAGGTAGTCTCCGGACTTGCCACATCTTCACCATCTGAGGAGGGGGAAGGTGAAACAAAGATGTTAGTTTAGAAAGTGTTTGACAGTACTTGAGTCACACATTGGTCATATAAGTGTCAAAGATTAGAGGTGTTACTAGATAGTAACAAACAAAGAAAAGAAGATAAAGAGATAGGTGCGATATGTGTTTGGTGAGAAAGAAGGGGAAAACCACACCACAGCACCTGCTAACCACCCACGAGGCAAATTGATTACTGAGTTGTGAAAAGTAGAATGTGTGTTTGGTAAAAGTACAATTTAACAGCCTATTCATACATAGGTTAAGAGCGCAGCATTTCGTGCTTGATGTTACGGCGACCCAATTGTGACCTCAAGGGGCATCCAGACCACGGATGTACCGGCGTCTCTGATGTAACGGTTAGGCACTTCGCTTTCACACTCAGGAGACCAGAGTTCGATTACGGAACGGGAAGAAATTTTTGCCGAATATGTCAGTCTTTCTGCTGAGATGTTGTATAATACCTCTCAGTCCTGGTTGACACCTTCAGACAAGGTCGGAATCCCGCCTCCTAAATGATCTAAAGTGTGTTGATGGGGGCGTAAAACGCCGAAATTAAATAATATAGACTACGGATGGGAGTGTTACTGGTTTTTTGCCTGTTCATAATACCCTAGTTCTCTTAGATTATCGTAGAAAAGCTAGGCATGAAGCCCACTGAGTGCGCTTCGCGTCCACAGACCATGTACCTTGTGGTGTGCTGGTGTATCGAAGTTTCAAATCTGTGTGAAAGTGCTGAGGACAGCTGCTGTTGGGACTTCGAAATCAAGATATTGTTATAATGAAATTCAACGTTGTGCTTGAGGCTAGTTTACGGAGAAGCAAAGGCTGGTTGAGAGATACAGGGACAAATTTAGAGAAAGATATTATTTCTTAATCCTAGAGCATTATGTATGATTTTACAGTATGTTTTGATTTACTACTTAGAGTTAAAAGTTCATCCTATAAGAATTGCACGTGAGAGAGAGGGGGGAGGAGAGAAAGAGAGAGAAAGAGGGAGAGAGAGAGAGAGAGGGAGAGACAGAGACAGAGAGACAGAGACAGAGACAGATAGAGAGACACACAGAGAGAGACAGAGACAGAGAGAGAGAGAGACAGAGAGTGAGTGAGTGCGTGCGTATGTGTGTGTATGTGCACATGTATATTTGTGTGTATATGTATTTGTGTGTATA